AACCCATTATGCTACCGAGTCTCCTTGGTCAGCCCAGTACTGAACTGCAAAATAGGTTCCGTAGGTACTTCTGTGTGGTAAGCTCGTATGCTTGCTGAGCCTGGGTCCTTGATCTCCCTAGATCTCGCATGCTAGCATGCCCTGCTGCTTTGTTTTCTTTGTCTTCGTGATCCCACCAAGCCCCGTTGCTCCTTCTACTTTGAATGACATCAGCCGCTTGATTGAGTCCATGATTACGCTGCTCTGTGGAAAGTAACGTTTGGTGGTTTCAGGAATTTAACCATATCTAAATCTCTAGCTTTGAGGGATAAATTTGGCCCAAACTCCTCCTCTCTGGTGCTGGAGACAGAAGAATTAGGCTATGGCTTATGTGAGTAAGGGAACATTTGTGGCAAAGGCACAGTACATAGAGGCTTCCCAGTGTTCTTCTCCCAGTGATCTTGGCTACTGCGATCTTTCTCTTCAATAGATGGGGAAACTATAACTTGGACAAAGAGGAATGACCCGGCCTCCAATCTTGTTCCAGCCAGAGCTGAGATGTCTCCGTGGAGCCTTGAATCCCAACGGTATCAACGAGGGTCACTGTGGCCCAACACCTTGCCCTAGACTAGAGCCTTTACCACCACGGGCAGGCAAAGGTTGGCCAGAGCTGCCCCAGGAGCTCTGAGAATGACATTTTCTGCCATGCAGCGCTTAGTGACAAGATGAGCCACAGTGGATGTTCTCTTTTTAGGCACTTTATGAGATAGATACGGTTTGGCTAACATTTGAAGAACTGGTTTCTTTACCACTTAATTTCTATGGAAGGTGACAGCAACCCAGCTTTAAAAACCCTTGACTCGGGCTCACTGGTGGAAACGGCTTGGTACATATACGAGTACATTTCTTCCTACAAGCATGGAACTAGGCCATCTTCTGTCCTCTCACAAGTGCGTACCTACTTGAGGCATGCAATGATTAGGGCAAGAGCACACCCCCTTGTGCCTGGGCCTGGTTGAGGCAGCTTGAATTAAAGTGAGAAAATTCTAGCCTCCAGAGACTCCTAAAAAACCCTTTTTTGGTGAGAGATTTCTTCTGGAGACTGTTTCTGCCTTACTTTTGGAGTCAGACTCTCTTCATGGCTGATGACATGATTCACACCGGAGCGCCAACGTTCTCTCCCATCCCGTGGGCTCTTCTCATTCGGTGATGTTGAGATGGCAATCGCTAAGAGGTGGGTGTCTACAAGCCCTCCCATGGAATTGGGGAAGGTTTTGACTTTGAAAGGAAGGTCTCTGTGCCTCCCAAGACGAGGGCTTCAAGGGTGGCATATCTTCCTTCTGCTTTGTTCTATTGCAGTGCCAGCTCATGGAATACAGCCGCCATGCTGTGAGGAAGCCCAATCAGGCTTCGGTGAGCTTCCATGGAGAGGAATTGGGCACTTTGGAGCCCAGACCAACAGTCATCACCAATTTTTTTTTTATCCATGTGAGTGAGCTATCTTGAAAGTGGATCTCCCATCCCCTAGTTAACCTGATGTCACAGGAAGTAGGGAAGAGCTACTTCCCTTGCCCAAATGGCAGATTTTTTAACAAATAAATTACAAATAAATCAGTCTTGTTTTAAGCTGCTACATTTTTGGATAGTCCATTATATAGCAAGACGGTTAATATAATTTTCTAATTACATAAACAGTTGACACGTTCTCTGGTGTCATTTTGGGTAAATTCCGTTGCCTTAGCATGCTCTCTATTCCTCACAAGTAGCTGTTTCACAACCATCGTAATTTAGAATCCACAGAGAAGTCATCCGGAAGCACCGAAGAAAGTGAGCGGTGGTAGGTCTGAGTAGACTACTGTTTGGAACTGTATTGCTCAGTAGATAGTGCCCCTTGCTTCCCATGACCTATCTGATTTGCCGTCCACCCCACCCGCAAGGGCCTGCGGAAGCATATCGGTGAGTGCTGAGGACACTTTCCCCCCCAAAGAGTTGCTTATAAAACTACCATCTTATATTTCCAAAGAATAACCACTTCTGTGAGGTTAAGAAACTCTAACAGACCCTTCCATGCCTGACAGTGAAATTATTGCTGAGGTCCTGTTGTAATCAGGGACATAGATGGCTACAGGATGTTTGTAGGAGTGGCCCATGTTCATCCCCTTGTGTACTCCTTCCATTTGGACAGTGGGGACACATGCTCACCTTGAATACTCAACTAGATATTTCTATGCCACAGAGGGGTCTATCACTTTTCCTGGGTCCACAGCTCAGCAAAGTGTCAAGAGGGGAAGATGCAACCGGTCTTGTTTCCCACTGTGACCTGATATGACATACCCGAGGATGAGCGTGATTCTGACTTTTCCATCTGTATCGAAATGGTCTTCCATTATCTTGTTCTATTCTTTTTCCCAAGGGTCTTATCCAGTGGAAATGTATTCTTTTCCACAGATTATAACTTTGAACACCGTCCTAATCCAACTCATGCTCTTAAACTATTTGTTTCACTTCGATCTTGCTATCAGAGAGACAGTTTAACTCCCCAGCAGAAACCACCAACCCGTGCAGGACTAAGTGGACAGCCAAGGCAAGACTGTCAAGGTGGCAGGTGAGAGCTGCTGTTTTTTTCTAGGACCCTGTAGGCCATTAGGTGAATGTTTCTCTGAAACGAGATGATTCCAAATTGCATGCTTGATCTGACCCATGGGAATTTAGCATTTCTATCTAGGTAGGTCATAACTGCTTAGAGGTTTAAAGGAGGGGAATCCTGTTATTACAGTTCTGCACATGGACATGAGGAAAGTACGTATGTCAGGATACATCCACTGGGAATGTGTGTGTGTGTGTATACATGTCTCGGGGTATTGTTGTTACTTCTCCCCATCACCTATCTGATTTGCCCTCCACCTCCACCCCCAAGGGCCTGTGGAAGCATATGGGCCAGCGCTGAGGACACTTCCCCCATAGATCATTTGTACATCAAAAGGGTCCTAGAACTGCTTGTGCTCTCTCTCTCTCTCTCTCTCTCTCTCTCAATTCCCAATAAAGGCCTTGCAGCAGAGAAAGAGAATCTAAAACAGAGACTCATGGAACCATTCCCGCAGATCATCATCCAGTTGGAATTTGTTTATCTGAGATGAAGTGGGGAAGGAAGGTGGCTATTCAGGAACTCTGGGCCGCTTGATGATGTCCAGAGGCCGAAACTGGATATTCAGTCTGTACCGGAGCTATGGCTATTATCCCCACCTATCAGTGTGCTTGCTGTACTATTTGTGTGTGGTTGATCTCCTGGGTGGCATTGAGTTATGGGTGTCCAAATTTTCCGGGAAAGTCACTCCTCTAGTTTCCAAGGCTACATTAGACATATGGTGTGTGCGCGTGCACGCGTGAGCGTGTGTGAGCACATACATGTTTCCAGACACAAGTCTCCTTGTTCTTTTGGGAGCTTCATGCTCTAGTGTCAGGGCTTTGAGGCTAAGGAATGATCTGAAAGAATGAACATTTTAAGCACGCCCTAGCTGTCCCTCTGTGGCCCCTCCGGGGCCAGCAGCCCATGTAGGTAGGGGCCTGTGCTACTTCCACTCCGTGATGGAACAACCATCTTTACTGCAGCCTCAGCGTGCGGGTGTGAGGTGATTATTTGTAGTAGATGTTTCCATGACACTACTTTTTTTCCCCTGAAAATGCAACTATACTGGGGGAGGGGATGAGGAGACGTAGGGGAGAAATTGGGAAATATGAACATCTTCCTGTTTTCTCATATAACTTCTTGTAGAGAAATGAGTTGCCTCATCCCCTTCCCTGTGTTCCCTCCAGCCTAAAGCCCTAAAGTGCTCCTGGGATCCATCTTGGCTTCCTGCTGCTGAGAAGAGGCTAGGCTCCCAGTTAGGTGGGAAGGGGGAGAGTCATGGGCACGAGGAGGCAGCCTTTTTTCAGGAGAAAGGGGAAAACACTTTGATTGCTCCAAGTTGAGAGTTAGCGGTGGTGGTGAGCAATGGTGACCTGCACTGGGGGAGGCAGTGTGTGCCTGTGCGTAGGGGTAGGGGGTTGGGGTTGGGGTTGGGGTGGGTGGGTGATGGTGACGGTGGCACTTCTGCAGCTGAGCGCATGACTCATCCTAAATCTTAGCGACTTTCAGAGGTCATTTTAGTCATCCCCCTGCTTTCAGGTTGAATGCTGCCGCTTTGATATCATATTTGGGTGGGCGGTGGGGTGGGGTGGGGGCGGGAGGCGTTGCTCTGACGGAGGATTGTCTGATTGTGGAAGGGATGAGGGTGGAGGAGGAAACGCGTGACCTCTTAGAAAAGATTTCTAGCAAAGGACGTCCCCCCAGCTTTCCCAGACTGCCCATATCTGGGCTTCCCCTCACTGGATCCGCACTGTCCTCCTGGGAACTGCTTTTTGCTGGATGGAAACCGGATGTCGGGTTTCCTTGGGTGGGCGGGGGCTCGGTGCTCTCAGACCTGTCAGAGGTAATTGAGACTCCCGGGGTTTCAGGAGCACCCCGGCGAAGCTGCCATTGCATTCTCCGGAAACTTGCCATGCAGAGACCAGAAGAACAGAGCAGAGACGCTAAAACGGCTGCTCCCAGGCAATGCGCATGATTCTGCGGCTCTGTGCTCGCCACAAGTCAACGCACCTTGAAACGGGGCTCGTCTCCTGCGCAGCGCGAGCGGCAGGCGCCG